CCCCAAAACCCCAAAACCCCAAAACCCCAAAACCCCAAATGCAATTTACAAAATTGAATAATAAAGATTATTAAAATTGACAAGGATGAGTATTTCTGAACAAGGTTCTTCCACCATAACCAGCAAACAAGAGATTAAAAATGGCACAAAAGTTGCAAATCCTGACATAGTCCTCGATTCTTTTGATTTTCGAATTAACCCAGTGATTATTCGTACTAATAGACACACACAAAACATGTGAAATAAAAGTGGGAGAAATAAATTTCAGTCGAAATCTATCTCGAAATCGAGGTCAAAATCCAAATAAGAAAATATTTAAAAGCGGAGGACATTTTAAACTTCAAGGAAGAGTCATTAACGAAGATCAGTACTTTGATGAAGCATACAAGACCAATATTCTTCTTGCAAGAAGACTTCGAGCTATAGATACCAGAAAGCCTAAGTACGTTATTACTCTTGGTCAGGGTGTATAATCATCCTAAACAGTTAAGGATTTCCTATGAAAGCTGAATTAAGTTACCCTCGTTTTCTCAGTTATAACCCATCATTCAGAATAAAGGATTTTTATGAAGCCAAATTTTAAAAAGACCTGCCAGGTATTTTTGAAATTGATGCAAAAATCATTTCTGGCTAAAAATTCTTGCAATTATCCTAAAAGTTGCTCATCTTTTATAAATTTCATTACCCAAAGCGACAACATCTCCCGATAAAGCTATTCTAACAGTTTTATAAATTTCAGTATTACAGCCAATAATCACATATTGGTGATTAATCTGGGTTTATTTAAAAAGGCAATCTAACTTGTGGATATTACTAATCTGAATTTTTAGAATCCCTTTCAAGAGAAAACCAGTCAAGATTAATTCCTTGTTAAGAAAAAGGAGTGTCATAAAGGTATCAAAACCCAGCAAATCTCTTAAGAACATAAAAAAATTACAGAGTGCTCGGCATAGCAGAAGGATGATTGCTAAACTAACTGTGTATCCTAGTGAGCCAGCACTTAATAAACAGTAAGCATTCCCTTTACTTATGACTAGAGTGAACATTGAAAAACAGAACCAGACTATTAACTTCTTTCCAAAATGAGACAGCAATAATCTGCAACCGAATTATTTGAAGACCTTCGAACGGAACACTTTAAGCACATCTAGGAAAGGAAGCGGGAGGTTTTACCTTCCCAAATCCTCAGGTGCCTCAGAGAACACTTCTCAGACAATGGACACAAAGATCCGCAAGAGAGAGGGAAGTTCTAACTCTCGGCCTGAAAAGTTGACCAAAAAGAGATTATTCAACTATAGGTTCTTCAGGAAGCAGAATAAATCACTTGATTATTCTATACAGTTAAAGTCCCTGCAGAAGACAGTCCAGCATCTCAGAGAGGCTAATAAAGTTGACATGTAGCCTAGTTTTGTTAAGAATTTAGTTTTTAATAAAAGAATTTTAGCAAGATTTTCCATCACAAAATCATAAGCTTCTTTTAAAAATATTGAAAGCGAGAAGGAATGCACATTTTGGAGATTTTTGGAAGAAACAGCTGGGTTTAGAGCCTATTTTAAGTGCTAGGAAAGGTCTGATATGGAGGATTATCGAGGGATAATAGATATGCAGTATACTTTAGATAAAGGACATAAGTTTATGACCAAAGATATCTATTTTTGTATATATTTGTGACAAGTGCTATATGGCCTTATACTCTACTTAACAACTTCTGCGTCCTTATTAGAATGATTGTTTTAAATAGCAAGAAGCATAAAATAGTAACTCCTGCATTCTCAGTATCTGTACAGCATGAATCTTAAACGAATATTGTCAGTTTTCTAGGATCTTGCTAGCACTATTATCTTATTTATGGTAAAAACTTGTTGATATGAATTTCAATAACTATAATTTTATAAGGGGTTTTGGGGTTTTGGGGTTTTGGGGTTTTGGGG